GTTCTATAGAACCTCCTTGGGCCTTGCACAGCTGGAGGAAAGAATAAAGTGCAAAAATAAAAAAATAAAATAAATCTAATAAATGTTTTAAATCATTATAAAATCAAATCTATTTTGAATCATTATTTTAAAATATAACTTATGATAATGTATCAAAATGGTGTTTGAGAGAGCTTTAAAATATTTGATTTATTTTGTTCTGTTCTTATTGTCAATTTTGTTAAAAGCATTAATTTTTCAGCTTGAACATAACAGTGTTTATAACATATTAGTCACCTCCAGATGAGTTAGTCCCCACACCCCCAGACGTTAATGCTGTTTGGGAGTCATTGCATGGTAAAGTTTGGGAACCCCTGGTTTATGTCATTGGTCCTGGACACAAACTGAGACAGTATTGTAGTATTGCATGTCAGCCTCTAGAGGACAGTGTAAAACAGGTTAAAAAGATAACTGCAAACCCCCTAATATAGGCCTCTTGTAAACTCTGACATAAATGAGAATAAATCAATAAATGAAATCTTTATTTTTACAGTTGAATTTTTATAAACCCCTCTAAAAAAACACAGCGTTTGTTGTTTTCTAGAAGCTCTTTGTTTGGTGAAACATGGCCATGTTCATCCACGCCGTGTCGTTTATTATTGAGGTGATTTATGGAGCATTTTGTGGGGAGCAGAATACTCACTGAGGCAACCACATGACAAGTTTCAAAGAGAGGAAAACATCACACAGACTGTTGTCATAACAACATATTGCAATGTACACCGAGTGCCATCTGGTAGGAGATTTTTGAGACACATCAAGAGGACGAGCCGATGGGTAATTATTTCCCAGGAATAAGAATTAGACTGAATGATACAAACACGGCTCTGGAAAGGCAGCGATAATAAAGTTTATGGAGGGAGTTTGGAAGGAAGTTTTGGCACCAAAGCTAAATCAAAGCCAAGTGTTCAAAAGCAGGTGTAGTGCAGACAAAAGACAGAAACAGGAAGTTGAGGGAGAGTGTGTGTCTATTTCAAGAGATCTATAAAAAGGAATTGAAAGTAGCCGTTAGGCAGTCAGGGGAAGAAGTTTCTTGTTGCTCACAATCTTTGAGCCTCGTGTCCTAATTTATGGCTGTTAGCAGCTCAAACACAAATTAATCACACACATTAATCTGTATTCAATCCCAGCGCAGACTGACCTTGAGTGTTTCACCTGAAGTATGCGCTTTGCATCCATTAAGTCAGTGTGATATAAAACCATCTCACAGCATCAGCGTGAAGTGTCTATTACCACAGTCTTATTTCCTGTTTATATGGCAACTGCCTCAACATCCTGTTTTTAATTACTTCTCTCCAGCAGCAGATGCTTCTCACAGCAACCTGCTGTGGATTACTCCCCTGAGAACTAATGTGCTGTGACAGACCCCACTTTTCCAATCAATAACTCGCCCTAAATCTGCCATCTCTCTGCCTGCCAAACACACTCCCACTTCTAATGGCACATCATTTTCTTTAAGGGGGTGTAATTGCGTACTGCGGAAAAGCTGCATAGCCCTCTCGGTTCCGGCCACGCAGATACTGTAAAGGAATGTTTAAAAAAAAAAGTAAAGAAACTGCAGCTCACAGGAAGTGATGATGGGGGGGCTTTACACTGCGTTGAGTTTCACCACATCTCACATGAAACATTTCATTTCCCTGTTTTGGCTCTTTACAGTAGAGAGTTCAGACAAACTCAGTTTTGCTTTAAAAGCCTGTTGGAAGGTGAGCTGGTCAAGATGCTTGTTTGATTTTGATGGTAAGTGAAATCTTTTACTGCCCAGACGCAGCTTCTTTTATCTGTTTCACCTTTAAGACTGAGGGAAGACATGTTTTACAGCTGCTCAGTGAATGTGTCTTCAGGTGCTGATTTTATTTCATTTTTAATATTTGACTATTTCACAGCTTTTTGTTCTTATACAACACTAATAAGTGAGGAGATGTTAAAATGACACACTGACGTCACCCATTTAAAAAATATATCTCAGATTTCTTCTATTTAAATTATTCATGTACAAAAACTTTAAACGATTTTTTTAATTATTCATTTGAAGTTGTTTTACTTAAAGGCTGATCCAGACCTTATAAAGTCTGCTTTATGTGTCCAGCGACACGGGTTTTTAAAAAAAAAAAACATTACAGTAATAAACCAGCAGCTTCTGCAAACTGTGAGACATAATTAGAAGCAGCAAACTTTCTATTTCAATCACAGAGCATCATCAGGAAATCACATTCTGCTTTCTGACCCAGAAATATGAACTGCGTGCAGAGGAACCACAGTGTCTATAAAGCTTGACTCTGTTGTCTTTGTTATTATTTTTCTCTTAGATTTCAGTCACTTGGACAAATGTGGGATTATCTTCAATTTAAGTAAGTTATCATTATCAGTCACTCTGTATGTGAGGTCATTAAACATCTAGAAAAAAACATATAACTTACTAGTTCTGGGTTTTTTAAAAWTTTTTTTACTATCTAACAGAAAAAAATAAGCCACAAATTCAGCTGAAAATAGCTCCAAACTAAAAACAATATTCTCAAAAAGTGGATATACATCTGATCAACGATTACCTTTGGAGTGAGGCAAGATGGCCAGAAACATGTACAATATCTGTCTTCAGACCCAGGCCTCCCTTGCAAAATAGATCTGTGATCTCAGTGGGATTTGCCCAGTTAAATAACAATAAAATAAACGGTGACCACAACTAACCGAACAAAAAATAGGGCCTTACTCAGACCTGTTTACAGGTATTCTGCTTAAGTTTGGTGTAGTGTTAACTGACTGTCATTCACAGCACCTGCTTTTCACATAGCTCTGTGTTTAAAACTTTGGCATGCCAGACAATGGACAAGTAAGGCCTAATYAAATATGAAATGCCATAACTAATATTTACTTACAACCTTGTTTTCATTGCTCAGCGATTTTTGAAATACATTGTTGGCACACTTTTCCAAATAGCCATTTATAATTTTGTACACAATAGCATTTCTGGGTTTAAAACTGTACGTTGTTTGTACAATCTTCAGTTTAATACAAGGTAGAAATTAATTGTAAAAAAAAATTAAGATGTTTTCTTCTTAGCAGCATAACTCAAACCAGTCCCATAAGCAGTTTCAAWGATGCATAAATTGTATCCAAAATGTTAATTTGTTTGACATTGGAACATACAAATCTGTGTTTTTAAATTAGTAGAGGAATTGGATTTTGCCCCAAAAGTAAAAAATAAATAAAATGTATGTTCATCTTGTAAAAAAAGAGGATATTTAAATCTAAAGATGCAATAAATGTACATAAAGAAATAAACATCTTTGTTTTGTTTTTCAGCATGAATGTCTCCCTGAACTCCTCCAACATGTCAGTGGAATCTCTAAATCTGAAGACAGAACAGGGTCCAGTAGAGTACCGTGTGGCCAGCCTGGTCTTCTACAGCATCGTCTTCACCATAGGAGTCATAGTTAATCTCACTGCCTTATGGGTATTTGCTCTGACAACCAAGAAGAGAAACTCAGTCACTATCCACATGATAAATGTGGCGCTGGTGGACCTCACCTACATCCTGCTGCTTCCTTTCAGGATGGTTTACCTCCAACAGGACTATTGGCCTTTTGGAGATATTTTCTGCCGGGTCAGTGCAGCTTTAACCATCTTTTACCCCTCCATGGCTCTGTGGCTGTTTGCGCTGATCAGCACTGACCGCTACATGGCCATCGTGCAACCAAAGCATGGCAAGGAGCTGAGGAATGTCCCGAAGGCTGTGGTGGGCACCCTGGGAGTGTGGCTGATGACTCTGGGCAGCAGTGTACCTTTGCTATTCTCTGAGGAAGACCCCGATCGCATCTCAAACTATACCACTTGCATCAAGATGCAAGACATCATCTACATGCGTCAAGACAACGTGGTGAACTTTGTTAGACTCATCTTCTTCTTCCTCGTGCCCATTGGTATAATGATCGGCTGCTATGTCATCATTGTTGACAATCTAATCCACGGTCGCACTTCAAAACTCAAACCAAAAGTGAAGCAAAAGTCCGTCCGGATCATCATCACACTCATCATCCAAGTGCTGGTGTGCTTCGTGCCTTTTCACATCTGCTTGGTGCTCCGTTTGTTGGGGAACAGCGAAGATGGAGGGTTCAACACATGGGCGGTGTTCACCACGTTCCTGATGAACCTCAGCACGGTCTTGGACATCATTTTGTATTACATCGTCTCCAAGCAGTTCCAGGACCGGGTGATCAGCGTGATCCTGTACAGGAACTACTTACGGAGCGTGAGGCGGAAGAGCCGGCACACGCACACGGGAAGCATCCGATCCCTCAGCAACTTGACCAGCGCCATGATATGAAACTTTAAGTCTGACCACTTGCTCAGACTGTAACATTTGTACATAATGTAACACTGAATGCATCACCTTGTACTGTATATGATTGACTATAAAAAGGGGTAAAAAAAAACAACCGCAATTACAATGGGGTGCCGTTTGTAAAGTCACAGTCAAAAAAATACCACCAATGTTTTTGTTTTACTTAGCCTTTTATAAGAAAAAAAAGAACAGTTTTATTTTTCAAAGTCAGTTATTCACCATATGATTCATACATTTATAAATGGCATAGTTTATAAACTAAATATTTAACTTACAAATTAATATTTAGTTAACATATTTATGTTAGAAATATTTCATATAACCTAACATATTTAGGTTGCAACTTAAATATTTACCTAGCTACCTAAATATTTAACTTAAATATTTAGATAGCGACCTAAATATTTAGCTTGCAACTTTAAAATTTTCCTAACAACCTAAATATTTACGTAGCTAGCTAAATATTTAAGTTAAATATTTAGCTAGCTACCTAAATATTTAGGTAGTACCTAAATACGTATTTA